AAAGTATATATATATGAATATATCTGTACGATCTCGATGCGTCAGAGATTAAAGTTATGTAACACTGCATGCCTCCTCTCTCAACTTTATCAACTATATATTTACATACATCTACTCGTGTAGAAATGCTCTAACTACGCTCCTAATGCCCAAGCCAAGTGTCTATCAAATAAACAATAACAACATCCAAAATATAAATCGTATTTATTCCAAGTTCTTGTGGCTGTACTTTAACATTTTGTGTATTTTGTAAAAATGTCAACTTTTGTGTGTCTGTGTGAGCTAGCAATAAAACCAAAACCTAATACGCTGTATTTCATTTAACAACACAATTTATAACACAACTCTACTTATCGAATTGCATTTCTACAATGTTTACAGTTATGTTGAATGCTTGACAAATACTATCAGCTCTAAGATCTGTTAATCGATCAATCCATATTTTTGCTTTTACTGTGTACCTTTGTCAAGCTTTGAACTCCAACTTATGTCTATTAACCATTGCCCCATTTAAAAGCCAAAAGGTAATCAATGCAACTGTCGCTCAATTAATATAAGCTTCTTGTGCAGGAAAGGCTTGAACTACCTACCAATCAAGCCGATTCACATTGATCTATTATTAATTAACAAAAATCAACAAAGAGTACACAAAACTCCTTTCTTTTCTTTTCAACACCATATGCTCTGACTGGGCATACTTTTACTGATTTTATTGTCTTCTCTTGAGTTGAGCCTTTAAGTTGTACTTACTTTCGTTTATTGCCCTTAGGGCGGAGCCATGAGATTGCGCAAAAGAACCATGAATTGTGACTTTGTTTAGCAATTCAGCAGTCGTATAACTCGTGTAACAATCAACCCTCATATGCGAACTTGCAAAGTATGAGTCAGTCGTTGCTCTCGTACATTTGTTTTGCCGATTTTGTTGGAGCAATTCATCGAAATTTCAATTTAATTTTTAAATTTAAAGTATAGCATACTCTCATCCTATTCATATAATCAGACATTCAAGGAACGACAAACCGCTTAAATACTTGCTATGAATAAAAATCTCTGAAACATATATTAATAATTACCTTACTGAGGTACAAAAGAAAATACTTTCTACTGAGCATTTGCTTTTTATTAGATACTATGAAGGTGCTTTCCGTTCTATATACATTGCGCCACTCTCTAGCTCACTTGTACTTGTTACAGTCTCACTATTCAAGTAAATGTTGTTTCTAAACACACACTCACACACACACACACATTAACTCACTCACCCACGCATCAAGTACATACTAATCAACTACAATTTGTATCAATATACATCTAGTTAGTCACATCTGTTAATACAGTCGTACATATTGACTTACCCACATAATCGCATTATCCTCGTACCGTACCCCCAGTTGTTGGCCGTTCAATGTTGTTTTTAAATGTAACTAACTACTAACTACAACTACTACTACCACTACTACTTGTTATCGTCAAAGTTATTGATCGTCGTCATTAAAGAGTCAACGTCGTCGTCGTTGTTTGAAGAACCATAGCATAAACCAATAGCCATAGCCATAGCATACAACATAATCAATCGTATTAATCGAACATTCATAAATTGCATATCTCTTTCTTTTATTCCTTTTATGCGTTTAATTTGAATTTCGTCTCATTTACGCTCTCTCAACAACAATAAACAAAACAAACAAACGAAACCCAAAAATCATAAATRAAACCACAACAACAACAAATTCCTAATATGCGGCTAAACAAATGCGAATTGACAATATTAAATGAATAATATAATGTCTCTTGAAAATTGCTACAAAATGCATTCATGGCTTTTTACGCGTGCTATCAACGATAACAACAACAACATAAACTAAACAACCTAAACAATAATAAAAACAACACTAACGTGTCGCGATAACTCCACACACTTACACCCCACACACACACCCATACACACCCTTACACACACACACACACACACACACTCGCAATGCAGAAAAGCGCGAAAGTCACACAAGATCGCTAAAAAATTGGCACCGTTTAACACACGCGCTACGCCGATCGCCCACAGGACACAATCTCTCCCAGGCGGATGTCGATGGCAATAGCACAGAGGGCGAGTCGACCAGCGGCCGCAATCCGGCGACCACGGGAATGGGCTGCTATAAGAACTACGACCACGTAGCCAATCTGCGAAACTCGAGCATGCATCAAGTAAGTTCCATCCACAGGGCCAACTAGCTAATACCCTGCATTTCATTCAGTAATCAATTCTAACAAATTCTCTGCCAAAAGGTAATTTACACAATATCAATCTTTAATTTCATTAATAATCCAATTGCCGATCTGAATATTACTGACCTAGAATTACTAACAACATTAAGCTGATCTAGATTTTATAAATGTAATTGAGATATATTTCCGAATACAATGATAACACCTCATTCTCTATTAAGTATTTTATATATTATTATATACTTATATTATTTACTTTATTTATACATATAAAGAAATTATTTTCGTCGACTGTTCACTTCGAAATATCGAAGAAAACGAGCAAAAAACCTTTGCAGATTTATTTGTTCGTACTAATATATTTTAAGCTAACAATTAACTAATTCAATCATTTAATAAATTGAATAAGCCATGATCCATACTGATATAATAATATGCCTTTTAGCTATAACAAGTGAAGAGAATAAAATTGGGAGAACTACCAGTTCCCAATAACTAACATCAAATCAAATATTGTTCCTGATTGATCGGAGCTTATTAACTTTCATTGCCACTTTTATGCAGCGTCGTGGTTCCAGCTCTGAGAAGGATGCAGTGCCGCCCTACAGCTTCGACAATCCGAACGCCAGGCAGACCTCGATGATGGCCATGGAGAGCTACAAGCGAGAGCAGCAAGCAAAACTCCTCGCCCAGCAGCAGCAGCAGCAGCAACAGCAGAAGCTGCCTCCTGCTGCACAGATGCCAGCTGGCGGGGTTGCCAACAACTTGGCCATGGTTGCTGCCTCGAGTGCTGCCACAGCTGTAGCTACCTCCGGGAGTGCTGGGCAGGAGAACGGCGAGGCAGGAGCAGCAGCTGCCTCCGCCAAAGGAGAGGATGACATGAGCCTGGCGTCGAACCAGAAGGGATTGCCCATACAGATGATGATAACGCCCGGGGTAAGTGTTGGTGTCGGGTCGGGGTGTATTGTCTACCGATTAAGTGTGTAGTCCAAGCCACGTGCTCGTATATCTTAAATATCTTAATGTTTTCAAAGTTCTTAAACCGTAACTATGTATTAGTAAATGTGAGGCCGTTGACTGGAGCTAAACTATTTTCAACTATTGTAAACAATACACTTTCCATATATTTTATATCTATCGCCATTTGGTTCCCACAGTCTCAAACTACTTTTTGGGGCGGAGCACCCCGTTCCTAAATGAACCTTAGTTCCTCTTCAGTTGTATTGAATCCGCTAAAATAATTTCGGTCATTTTCTCTTTTTTTTTTTTTTTTTTTTTTTTTTTTTTTTTTTTTTTTGTTTATTTACTCTCATACGATCATACAAGAAATACTAAAATAAAATACCTACTAAACTTACCCACATGCGAGAGCTAGCTAATTATAAAAAGAAATCAAGTTCGATAACAACAACAACACATTTCAACTTTTAGATTTTACGGGGACGCAGTAAGGAGGTACATTCAAAGTATACACAAAGAACTCAAACTACTCTACTCTAATGCATACTACTTGCCACTGCTACTCTTTACTATCTATATAGAATCTTTAATTCTATTTAATTTATCAAAAAGAAATTGAAAAAATTAATCATTTTCACCAAATTGATTTTCAGAGGCTGAACATACTGCTGCATTTTTTTCTTCTTGCTTTTTTACTCTCCTATAAGAAAAACTACGACTGAAAATATACAATTCGATCTTTCAATATTTGCATTTTGCGAATGTCTTCAAGTTCTCAATAAGAACGCATTTCAGCTGCTAGTGTGCTTAAGAGAATTATCTATATTTTTTTATTTATATTTTAGCTATCAAGTTTTTGATTCCGTATTGTTTTCAACTTTTAGATTATACTCTATGCATATCCTTAGCCGATAGCCAGAGCGTGATCAATGAAAAACTTTAGACATAGAGCTGGCTCGATAGTCTTTAGCCGCTATGCTCTTATCAAGATTTGTAGTATAGGGTATAGCTGCCTATTGAATATGTTGATCATATATTTATATACTCATGTAAATACCTATGTATATTATAACTGGATGTTTTTTCTTTAGTTCGTTAGGCTTGATCTAAAACTTGTTAAAATTTCTTGAACAGATATATATGTGTACATATGGCCAATGAATCAAACGGATTTTTATTTTATTTGTATGTCTATATATAAACTTAAAATTTCCATAGGTGCCCACATTCCTATTCCTGCATTCCTATTTTCGCCTTATCTATCTGTACGCATTCGCTGCAGCTGCTTTTAATAATATGCATTCAATCAACTCATCATCTTCCCAACATAACCCACAAACAGAATAGAAACACACACGGATATGTAATTGCAGGAAATATATCTTAACTGGAAGATTCATACAAAATATAACTATAGAGATGGACAACTGTTCAAAGAGGTGTGCTTTAACTATGTATAGCGAGTGCCTTGGGCAAGCTCCTTGTTTTCGCCCTCCCCACGAATACCAGCTCCGACTCTAGTGCCAATGTCAGTGCCAGTCCCCTGAGCCATAGCCATGCCCATCCCTAGGCCAGTGTTAGGCCCCTGCGTTGCTGCGTTCAACGGAGGCAGCGTGATAATCATGGGCACTGGCGTGGGCCGATCGAAGTGCTGCAGCGGCTGCCGCAGCTTGTCAAGCAGTGCGTGCAAGTCGACCGTTAGCTTCGGCTGCACAATGCCCTCGGCCGCCTGCAGGCCGACCACTTGCGAGGAGAGCGCATCCACGTCCTGCCGAGCTGCGAACAGCAACTGATCGTGGGCAGCCAACTGCAGCTGGGCGATCTGCGCACGGATCGCAGCTGCTGCCACCTCCTGCTGGGCATTGTGCAGGGTCGCCGTAATGGTGCGCACATGATTGGCAGAGTCTTCGAGCTGCGATTGCGCCGAGCTGGCCACCGCCTGCGCCTTGTGTATCTCAGTTGCCTCCAGCTGGACGCGCGCCTGCGCCACATACAGATGCTGCACCAGCTTGCGCAGCTCCTTGCCGCGCTGCTCAGAATCGTCTGGCTCATATGGCGCCTGCTGCTGTGGCTCTGGATACTGTTGCTGCGGCGGATATTGTTGCTGTGGCGCATACGGATRATGCTGCTGCTGCAAAATGTTGCAATTGGGATTGCTTGGACTAGGCGTGGGCGGACTCTGGGCGGACGGATTTAGTGTCAGGCAGGTTGTCGGATTGGACGCACCAACGGGTGCGCAGGTAGTTTCCGGGCTGGGCTGGGGCACTGAGTCGCACGAGATGCCCTCCTGAAGCGCTGTGGAGCATTGCAATGTGAATGGAATGAGCTTCAGGTTAGCTGTGATACGAATACCCACTCTCGTCCTCAGCAGCGTCCCAGTTCTTGCTGTTGTACTGGCTCAGGCGCTTCAGCTTCAGGTCATCCACATTGGAGTCGACATGTCCGTAGCCCCGCCTGAGGCGCGTTGCAGCGCGTTTTCCAAACATTTTGGGATGCTGGCGAGCGTGGCCTGATCGTAGGATGGTAAACAGTGCAACTAGAAGAAGAGAGAGGCGAGAGACATTACGCATCCTCAGATGGAGCCAAAGAGGTTACCAATCCAAAGCAGGCTGCTTAAGCGCATTTAGAGCACATTTAGAGCAGTTCATTTAGCTTGTTTAGGAGCAAACAGTTTCAAATTCGACTCTGACAGCCGACTCACACTCGACTGTCAGCTGTCACCTTGCCCTACCTAGTTCAGACATATCTAGCAATATATACTCCCCACACTCAGCTGTCATCTCACAGTCTCGCGAAGCGCCTCAATTCATTTACGCTGCAGACGCACAAGATTCGCTTCTCAGGGATCTTGATATTGACGGGCATGCGCATGAGAGTTTTGTTCCATTTAATCTTAACCTAATATTTATAATGTAAATATGTATACAATAAATGTTAACTATGCCATTTTTATGTTATGCGTATGTAGCATGTTGTGTGAGCATTTATTTAATTTTTTGTATTTCGATTTATGCATTTACATTTTGCCAAAACCCTGAACCCTATTTATAGGAAGTCGCCGAGCTGCGCCGCCAGGTGGCGCTCGAGAACCTGCAAAACCAGCGAATGGACAATCTGGAGCAGGATGTGCCAGTGGAATTCGAATGCTGCTTCTGCACAACCAAGGTAAAATCGACAAGCAAGACAATCGATTTATCTACCCCCGAACACCTAATCACAGTTGAAAGACCACACAATACCTATTGCACCTGCACTACCACTAAGTAACTCTAAACCTCTGCTTTTTGTGTATGTCGCATGCCTTTCACACTCACACTCACACTCACACTCAACTCTGAACACCTGAGACTACTTTAGCTGCACTTGCACTTGTTTGATGTCCTGTTCTAACTCTGTTTTATTTTCAACTAACAACTTAACCTATGACAACACGCCACATCATCTGAATAAAGTCTCGAACAAGATAGGTTCTAAATCAGTACACCCACTATTGGAGCTCATAGTTAACTAGATCGCGCTTGGCATAGGTCCCGCACTGGGCATTGCAATCAAGCTCGTAATCGTGCATCGAGTATTTTTGATCCCGAGTAGCTATCCGCAGTTGGTATTCCGTATTCCAATTGAATTGAAGAGGATTGTGTGAATATTGCAGGATCGCATTTGCGTCTTTCACGACAGGGAGTATAGCATCAAGAGGCTGGCGCGTCCACCTCCCTCGCCCAAAAACTATCTGGCACTCAAGCGCATGATCGAGGAGGGCACTATCGATATCTATTATCTGTGATCGATTCGGTTTCGATTGCAATTTCGATTCCTGAATGTGGTATGATAACGTTAACACCCGCACCCCGTCCCCGTCCCCCTCTGTTCCAGTGTCCAAGTGAAGATCGTGTTTTGTGTTTATTGTTTCTTTTCCACATTATTATTTTAAAATTGAATCGATTAATTTTTGGTGTGTGTACAGCAAGCAGAGCACGGCGGTAAAATATGGCATTTTATGTTGACTTTGTTTCTTTTTTCATTTCTTTTACTTAAAGGGTTTGCCAGGATGTCAAGGCGAGTGTATACCTTTGCGTGCGAATAGCGTTTAGAAACTATTGAACTATTGAATTAGAGCTTGACTAATTGATGTCAATCATAGCGACGAACACACAGACACTCACACACACAAACACGTCTTACAAATTTTACTCAACGAAAAGCAAAAAACAAAATGAAACATAATATTAAAGATACAAGCAAACAAACATGAAAGGAGTTAATTAGCTTTTACTTTAAACACAAGCCTAAACTTAATCTATTGAATATTATAAAAGCTATAAACGTGCGAGAAGAGCAAGCTAATGAAAGACATAGCAAATTCTAAGAATTTAATTAAATTAATTTTACTCCACACCCACACCCACACACACACACCCACACATCCACACCCACACACCCACACAAATGAAAACGAAAACCGAAAGCAGCATGTGTTATTATCTATTATCTACTATCTATTATCTATTATCTAAATACATATATGGTGTACATTATCTATTCGAGTGTTTAAGCTTAAGGCAATGAGATGAGTTTTAAACAAATTCTTTTTTACACACTAAGCACATATTTATTAGACCTAGTATTAATAACATCGTTTGTTAGTAGCAAAAGAATAACAAAAATATTGCAAAATGGAAAACACGGAAATACTATATATATTAAACTGATTTAATTAATTATTTGAAACATTGTTATGCAACAAGAAAACGAAACCAAAAGCAAAACCAAACCAAAACCGAAAAACTGCAATAAATAAATACAATTGATAATCGATTTCAATATTTAACCAGCACTATATTCAATTGGCACCTGATTCTGTTTGTATTGCTCGATTAGTAAAGTTTCAAAACGACTTTTGATTTCACTTAGAGCCATTTTTATTTTCCCTTATGAATATTTGAGAGCTGGATGAGCACAGTTGTGCTTGCGAAGTTCGGGTAAGTAAGAAGAGATATCTGATATCTTCTTTTTTCTTTATAATTATTATGATTTTAATTTTAATTTCCTTATTTATTTCGGAACTACGTTTAATACAAACTAAATTCGAAACTCAGCGCTGCACGTTTGACTTAACTCGATGCATCCTAGTTGCATGTTGAATGCTCTTGAGAAACAACAAAGCAACAAGCCTTTCAGCAATACTCAAGTGCACCACTATTTACTCATTAACAACCGCAAGCAAGGTACTGGGCGTGGCCGCGTCTTGACCTAGTGTTATTTGCATTATTTGTCATGGAATGTCCACTCACTCTTTGCCTTGCAGGACTTTAAGGAGTACACCGATGCGGAGGGCGTCATCTCGCTTCCAACTTCCGACTTCCACAAGCCCATCTGCCAGGAGCTGCGCCAGGCTGCAGCCAATCGCCACGCCAATCAATTCGGCCTGCTGGCGCCCGCCGCTGCTGCCACACTGCCTCTGGTCCCGGCGTACACCAGCGCCAGCGCCATGATGCCCATCATTTCGCAGTCATCGTCGACGTCGTCTTCGTATGGCACGACCACGTCCACGACCATTGCTCTGCCGCTGGAGGGGACGCAGCGCTTTGGAGCGCCCATTGCGAGCAATTTCAATCACAACTACAACAACAACTTCAACACGACGACTGTGGGCGCTGGGGGCGTGGCGAACGGCCTGCTGCTGTTCGGCAACGGCAACTACGGTGCCAGCGGCAGCAACGGCAACGGCAACGGCAATGGCAACGGCAACAACAACAACAACAATGCTGACCTGGCCAGCGTGGACAGCTCGGACACATACGCCAGCTGCCAGACACATCCATTCCTCTCGCAGGGTGATCTCACGGCCGACTTCAATGACGAGGCCTGTGCGCTGGACATCGATATGGACAATCTGTACATAAATCCGCTCGAGAAGGAGTCCTGCCGGGGCACCCACATCAGTAGCTCCACGGGCTTCATTGTAGGCCTGCCGCCCACCATGTCCTCCTCCGGCCTGTCCATGCGCGCCCAAGTGAAGAAGAGCGCCTCGGGCGACACGGCGCTGCGGAACCTGGCGGCGGGTGGCATCAGTCCGATGGGCGATGTCTACCAGAGCTTCGATGTGCAGGAGCGTGGCAGCCGTGTCAGCTTGAACGAGAACTCAGTGCCAAAGCATCGCAAGACGCGATTCCAGCAGAGCTTCACGGCAATGCGACCCAGCCCGCAGGCCAGCAGCACCAAGCCGCGTGCCCGGTTCGAGGACACTAAGCTGTACGACGACAACGTGCGCCTAGACGGAGGAGGCGTCTCGGGTCCATCCTCATCCAGCGGCAGCTCCGCCGCGGGTGCCGCTGGCAGCAAGAAGAAGCGGTCGGCGTTTATGCCGGCCAAGAGCCTAGCCACTGCCACCAAACTGATCAATCAGCGTTTGTTCGGCATACAAAATGCGGGCGCCAAAGGTGAGCATTGGGGTGAGAGGGATTTTGGGAACCTGCCTAATGGTATTTGGGATTTCCTTCAGCCAAATTTGAGAGCAAGCATTCCTCATCGATAGACTCGATCGACGCGTCGCCGAACCTGGAGCACCACCGGCGCTCCAAGTCGATATTGAAAAACAAGTCTGATATCTCACGCGTGCTGTCCGATCCTGAGAGTGAGCGTCTATTGGCGGACAATATGTCTGGGTCGGGCGTGTCAGATAACGGCACCGTCATGGTGAGTAGAGTAGCGCTGTGTGCAGTAACTATATCAATTCATCGACCACTCAATTACAGGGCGAATCTGGCAGCGACTACTCACCGAATAAATTACCTCATTCAGTTTTAGCTAAGTCTATATCCCCACCACCCCTTAGGCACCGCAGCCTAATGAATCAACGGTCCGGACCAGCGACGTTGCAATCGAAACCAACCAAATTCCAGACTCCCCGGTACCCCGAGGAGCAGGCACTGCGGCAGGTCAAGCCCGTACTCTCGCGGTCCTCAGCCGCAGCATCGGCTTCCAGCGATGGGCGCTACGATTCGAGTCAGACGAGGGATAGCAGTCTGGGTAGGTTCACGTTCCTATTGTAATTGGCAATCACTCTCACTGAGTACGTCGCTGAGTAATCCAGTAATTTGGCTGTGAATACCTGTGAAAAAAAACCAAAAACAATTCTGTTCTATTCCCTCTATCGCTCTATCATCATCGCGCCGTGCCGCTCGCTCCATAGTAACCGTCTTCGACGCTGCATTCTGACCAGCCCGAAATACCCACACTAAACCCACTCACAGACACAGTTATACAAAAACACTGAAGGATCTCCCCACATGAACTCAGGCAAGACGAGCTAATTAACTAGTTACAACAGTCTCACAAGATGTCACTGCAACGGATCCTCTCGAAGCTAATTAAACGTTTCAGCACCTTTATCTGTACCCACCTCGTACACCTCGGTCAGAGACCGACCAGGTCTCAAGCAGCTCCGCACCAACTCCGTAACCTACACACACACACACACACATGCGAATATTGTAGCTAACTTTATTGACATTCACGTGATGCTGTAGCATTTGGCCTCCAGATAAAACTTTAAATCACACACATACACACGCAGCTTTCTGTACAGCATTTACTGTAGCACCTATGTATTATGTATCCACTTATGCGATTCGGTAGTAACACTCTTTTCTCTGCCCCCAATCCATAGATTCCGAGACGACTTTCACATCACCCGCTCGGCAGCCACAGGCACAGGAGGCGCCCACCAAGCCGCAGGACAAAACCACCGGCGTCGGAGAGCCGGAAGCGGACATGGAAGGAGCGGGCGAGGGCGAAGGCGAGGCCAACGACGAGCAGCGAGCGCTGCTGCAGCTACAAAATGCAGATGAGCCGGCCAGGAGTGAAGAAGGCGAGGGCAGCGGTGGGGCTACGTAGCAATTAGTCAACACTCACACGAAAAGCGCTTAGTAGTTATTGTACTATATAAACCAAAAACAAAAACAAAAAAACCTATGGAAAAAAATACAAAATACAAAGAAAAACTCAAAGTGATAGCAAAGTTAGCGAAAATGGAATGTGAATTATATAAAAGCAATGAACAGTATCCTAGTCTAATTTGAAATGCAGAGAGGAATAGCGTTGAAATTGAATATTTTTACAAAACTCAAGCTGAAACTAAAACTTTAACTATGTATGAGATCCCGTAAATACACTGAATACCATAAAATACTAAAAAAAAAAATACTTAAAGTAAAATTAAAAAAAAAAAAAAAAGAATCACAAACCTGCAAACTGTTGCGATGCCGCGCATGCCGTACAAAATTTAGTAAATACTTATCTATCTATATATGAAAAAGAAGCCCCAATATTTAATGCCTACAATAAACATACCAAAGCCCAAATGATACTAAAAATACTAAACCAAAGTACATTTTACATGTAAATAGAATCCTAAGCTAAAACTAATCTATTGTAAAGGCAACATTTATTTACAGCTTACAGCATATTTAATAATATATTGACGAAATCACCAGAAAAGCCTAAAGTAAACCGTCGAGTAAAATACTAAAAAAAAAAACCTAAACCTAAAGCAGAGAGCATATTTCATATTTTAAATGCAATTTATATATATAATATATATCTATATATGTAAATAGATGTGTGCGTATATAAGTATGTATATGTGTATATGTATATTTATATATTCATGTATATATCTATACACATATGTATATATATTTATATATACATACATAATAATATTTATACACCCATTGCCAACTACATACATACATATAATTCGTGGCATATTTACATCTAACAACTAACATACAATAAGGCCTATTTTTTCTCAAAGCACGCCACAAAAGACATAAGACATACATATATCTATATATGTATATAATAACATTGCAGACCCATATACACCATATACATACATACATGCTAGATAAATTGATAGAGAATTCGAAAAAAAAAAACAAAACAAAACAAAACAAAAAACAAAGTAGTTAAAATCGTTACGTCAAATGTTCGTTTATATAGAATTGAATGTGTGTTGTCAGGGTAGGGCTTGTTGTTAGTGCTTTGTTTTCCCCCGAAACTAAAACCCTTGGATTGTTAATAATTGATTAGAAACTTAAGATGAATATGCGAATAGATTTCCATATGGGGTCAGCAGTTTTTCATTTTAGCTTTGTATTTGTTTACATCCGTTTGATAATTATCATTAATGCACTCATCTATGCCTGCCTGATTGAGAGGTCCATTCTCTTAAGCGCTCTTTCATCTCGTATAATATTTCCAAATATAATAGAAGACTCGAGATTCGAGAGACACATTTTCTGTGCCGGCTAACAGAGAATTCGCTGTTATAGTTTCTTTTCATGTATTCCTGATATGGAAAAAAGTTAAAATACTTAGATGATCATCTAACTGCCGGCTTGACTGAGTCTTCAATGTATAGTCTGTTTGTAATGGGTATGTCCTTATCGATTATTTTTGACCCCTTTTATGCTGGAAACATTGGAAAAATATTCGCGTAGTATGTTTATTTGTGCTTTGCGCCATCTAGAGATATGACGGCTAACGCAGTATAGCTATGAGATGTACGTAATCGATTGATAGGTTTGTTTTGCTGTTGTTGTAAACATTAAACATGAAATGACATTTGAAAAAGGTTTTCCTTATTTACCTAGATATTTAGTTGTTTTTGTATTTTCTTGTTTTTCAATTTTTTTTTTTTTTTTTTTTTTTTTTTTTTTGCTTTTTGGGATATTGCATAGTGATATTTAAAATAGCTTAAAATTTAAAATGTGTGTGCGTCCCGTGTGTTAGTTCAAAGTTAAACAAGTACTTCAAAAGTTACAAAAAATATTCGTAATGTCATATAAGTCGTACTTAAGTATTTAGTCGTGTCTCTTGGTTCCATATATAAGTACTTAGGATTAAAATTGAGCAAACGGTTTTCCTGCGATTTTGTTTCGGTTTTCCCCTACTCTATACTTTTATGAATAAGCAATATATTTAAAATATGAGCGATATTTTAGNCTATGAGATGTACGTAATCGATTGATAGGTTTGTTTTGCTGTTGTTGTAAACATTAAACATGAAATGACATTTGAAAAAGGTTTTCCTTATTTACCTAGATATTTAGTTGTTTTTTTTTCTTGTTTTTCAATTTTTTTTTTTTTTTTTTTTTTTTTAATTTTTGCTGTTGGGATATTGCATAGTGATATTTAAAATAGCTTAAAATTTAAAATGTGTGTGCGTCCCGTGTGTTAGTTCAAAGTTAAACAAGTACTTCAAAAGTTACAAAAAATATTCGTAATGTCATATAAGTCGTACTTAAGTATTTAGTCGTGTCTCTTGGTTCCATATATAAGTACTTAGGATTAAAATTGAGCAAACGGTTTTCCTGCGATTTTGTTTCGGTTTTCCCCTACTCTATACTTTTATGAATAAGCAATATATTTAAAATATGAGCGATATTTTAGAGTTTTTAGGTTTGATTTTGATTTTAGAAAACAATTTCCCAATTAACCCCATGAAAATGTTTAGTCAATTATCCACGTATCAAATAATTGTGTGTTTCCATGTGAGCCCCTCTTCTAAGTTGTGTCCAAACTGAGAAATTAAAAAAAAAAAAAGGAAAAAATACATTCCAAATTGTGTGTATTGATACTGTTAATTGATGTATGAGGATTGTATGATATGATTGTGGAGTGTGAACGAGCAGAGCCTTCAAATTGACGGTCAAATTTATTGAATACGCATTTGATAATATTCTGTGGGCAAATCAGCAGGCGCGAGGTCGGCAGTCTAATAAATAAATATAAAAATTCAAATAATTATAATGAGAAAGTATTATTGCAAGCAAATTTGTATGCTAAACCAATAAATTCAAGCATTTATTAAATATTTAAAAACTACTCAGATACAGATATTAACATGTAATGAACCACTGGCCATTGTCAAAACTAAATTCAAGAACAAAAAAACAAAAATGAAAAAAAAATATATAAAAAATTAAAAGTAAAATCAAATAAATTTAATTACATTTAATAAGCTTTTGAACTAACAAGGAACTGAATAGTCACAGCCCCGATGTATCCAACATCTATTTGTTAGGTTCAATTGGTTGTCAGACATATAAAAGTCGTTTCACGAGTCTTAGGAACCTCACGAAGAATATACAAATGCCTGCAGAGAGCGATTAATTGGATAATGCTAAATCAAATGCAAATTTAGCCCCTTAGAAACATATCAGTAAAGGAATACGAACTCACTCACTCACACACACACATGTACACCCACACACCTCACTTACATACACATACAATGTAAATTCACAAGGAAATTTTATTATGAGAAGCCTAAAATCTCAACGTCCGCTTTTTCAATTTAAGACCCTAAGCGATAGTGAAAACTTAAGAGAAGTAAAAAAAACCTAATTAAAGTAAAGCCAAAAAAATTCAATTTAAGGAATATGCTTATATGATTAAAAAGAAACCAAAATGAAATCAGATGAAATGAATTATAGCTAAATGCTTAAAGTTTTCGACTGTTTTACACAATTTCTGGTGAGCTCTGGCCACATTCCAGTTAATTTGTAATTTCTAATTTGTAATTTTTGAAACAAAGCAAAGAAAATGAAACTTTTGTAAATATTTATTTCACGCAAACACTCAAAATCGCTCCGTTTCGCATCATAGTTTTTATTTACAACCAAATATGCAAACAACAAAATATAAATATACATACATATATTGACAACAAAATGGCACTGCAATTTTTTATACAAGAAATCGTTTCGGTTTAAAAATTGTTACTATTTTTCTAAATTATTTTTTAAGCGCTACAGCATTAACATTAAAATTGATAGGCTGCGATTGCAACTGTAACTGCAATTGAAATTCAAATTGCAAGCGAACAACAATGTCAAAATGTTATTATGTAATATTAATTATTATATTTAAATTATTAGTACGCGGTATGTACATTTTAAAGTASTCTGTCAGCGACGATTGAAGATCAGCGAAACTGAATACCATTAACAACATAAAACAAAACAAAAAGAAAAAAAAAGAAAATAAAATAAACAAAAAATAAAATAAAAGCTAAATCGTTGAACAAAAAAATCAAATTTATTAAAACATATTACAAATTATATTGAGCGAAATATCATGGAAATATATAAATCATTGCGCAAAATTTAAACAAATCCTTTTTTTTATACCCTGAACCCATTTTCAATGGGAAATCTGGGTATAATAGTTTTGTTGCGATGTATGTAACAGGCAGAAGGAGGCGTGGCAGACCCCACAAAGTATATATCTTCTTGATCAGGGTGACAAGCTGAGTCGATTTGGCCCTGTCCGTCTGGCTGTCCATCCGTCCATCAGAAGATATAAGAGCTAGAGACTTCAAATTTTCTAAAAATTTCCGTATTTACAGCGCGGATATCGAGTTTATCATTCAAAATCGATAACTCGTCCCGAAACACGCGAAAAATTATTTAAATAGCTATTGCTCCAAGGGTTCAGGGGATCTCGTAGTCAAGCAGTCTCGACTAGAGCTTTCTTACTTGTTTCTTATAGAGTGCTAAAGCAGAGCTTTACAAGTTTCATACGAGAAAAACCCTTAAAATTTCCCAGCACGATTGTTGGAAAGCTTTTACAAGCTTCTAAGTGCTCTCAGGTTGCTGCAAAATATATTTGAAAAAATTTTTAGCCGGTACAACAACCATTTTATAGTACTGTGACGACGTTTATAGCTGAAAAAGATAGAAATCAATTTCAAGCAAGCTAAGTACATACATATATGCTATTAATTGCTATTTCTAATTTATATAAAATATGCTATAAATATATGCATACCATAAAGTGTCATTATATGCCTATATTGGTTTTTGTACTAACTAAACTGTTTCCGAAATGTAATTGACACTTGCAGGCGAAGCAATAGAAGTAATATTAGATTCTACATGTATTTGGTATGCAAATTTATTATTTCATATATCTCGACAAAACTTTCCGCTTAGAAGAATTTTTATCACTACTACATCAATAATTCTTCAATGCGTGTCAACATATTTTACTGTTAAGTAGTATCTGAAATCAGAATTCCTAATGGCCTAAAATTTTATTTATTTTATTTCAGGTAAATTGTGACTTAAGGTGCGAAACGAGTCTGTAAGCCCAAGCCTGGTGCTCAAATAATCAATGTAACTCAGATATTTATTTGAATTTTACATAAATTACGAGTATTTAGATAAAAATATTGAATTGGAGTATAATTAATGCCAACTTAAGTCCTAAGACTCCTTTATTGAATTCCCAATTCGAAGCGCCTTAGTCTTACATAAATCTAATAATTGCTTGAATGCCCAAGCTATTGCCTTAATAATTAATTGCAGGGCGACATGTAATGGGGCGTAACACTTCCACATTCATTATTTCAGCTGTGTGTGTGTAGTGCTGCATAATTAATCAAATTTTTTGCCACGCCCCCTTAATAGGTTTATAAATGCCCAGCTCAAGCAGTTGGCTGGCAATTAGTCAAGATGTACTCGGAGCTGGAAGTGAAAGCGCTGGAGCGGCGCAACTATCATCGGATTAGGGAGATGATACGCGTCACCTACACGATGGGCTACAACATCATGAAGCCAGGACCTTGGGACAACCTCCTTAAGTTGTATGCCACCAAATCAGCATCCACCTAACCTGAACTGACAGAGAATGTCCTCTTTCGTGTGTCCGCAGCTGGAGCTTGATGCTAATACTGTTCACGCTCCTCTCCTACTACGGCCACTGGCAGCTGTTCGTGCACTACATGCAGGACATTCCGCGCATTTCCGAGGTTGCCTAGAGCACAGACAGCATAGACGTAGCAAACTAATATCTCCTTAACGGCACATACAAATTGTTTTTCATTTTTTCAGTCCATTAGCACAATTTTCCAGTCCCTGATGTCCATTATGAAGATGATTTACTATCTGATGGCGCCTCGCAGATTCTACGCGCTGCTTCGCCTCGTCTGTCGTCACGAGCTGCTGCAAAAGTGCGAGCTGTTTGCAGCTGTCTCTGGTCTGGTTAACCCGACTCTAATCTGATGAGCCTGGCCATGAGCAACGTATCCATCTTTCACTCTTGCAGATCTGCCTGTGGCACAGCCGCTGAAGCAGCGTGTGGCCAACACCATGGATCAGTGCTGGATCAGCACGCGCCGGCAATTGATGTTCTATCTGTTTTGCTGCATTGGCATCCTGCTGAATTACTTTGTCAATTCGCTGGTCGTCAACATCTATCACGCCCTCACCGAGCCCGACAACAACTACGAAGTGGCGCTGCGTAAGTGCAGTCGAACTGTATACACATACATATTATGGTTAGTTAATGGAGTCAGATTCCTATACAGCTTTGCCTTCGCTCTACCCCGACTGGATGGACAAGGGCATGACCTTTCCCTACTACCATCTGCCTCTGCTCCTCGAGAGCTGCAACCTCTACATCTGCGGCATGGGTAGGTGCTGTCGCCTGTGAGAAGAGCTGAACTCGAGTATTTCTTTGCAACAGGTGCCGTTAGCTTCGACGTGCTCTTTATCGTCTTCTGCACGCATGGCGTGGGCCTGATGCACTCCCTCAGCCATATGATTGAGTACGCCACCTCGCCGCTAATTCCCCGAGAGCGACGAGTCCAATATCTGCGCCATTGCATCTATCAATACCAGCGAGTCGAGGCGTGTGTAGAAAACACTAGAAGACGCTCTATTACGCACATTTATTTCTTTCTAATCTCTTTTTCCATCTCTTTCTGGCAGCTTTGCACTGGAGCTGAACAACACCTTTAGGCAAATCATTATTATCCAGTTCATACTCAGCCTCTTCTGCTGGGGTCTGGTGCTTTTCCAAATCAGCATTGGCATTGTGAGTCCCACTCTCCCATACCCGGTTCCCCCCAAAATATATCCCCTGCTAGCTTTGGCACAGAGTATCGCGCCGTCGGTCCTGCCCGACTGACTGTCAACCTTCCTTGTCTACTTTTTAATTTGTAACCATCTGTTTGCTTTTTGTTCGAGCTCAGGCCACCAGCCTGACAATAGCGCTGCGCATGCTGATGTATCTGGCGGCCGGTGGCTATCAAATCGTCATCTACTGCTACAATGGGCAGCGCTTCACAACGGCTGTAGGTCCTGCATCCTTTTTCATTTGATTTCTTTTGATGGGCCAACTGCTTTGTTTTTGTACCCTTTTTATCGCAGAGCGAGCGCATTCCAATGGCTTTCTACGAGTGTACGTGGTACGAGGAATCCAGGGAATTTCGGCAGCTCATCAGAATGATGATAATGCGCACGAATCAGAGCTTCAGCCTGGACGTATCCTGGTTCACCAAAATGTCGCTGCCCACCCTGATGTCGGTGAGTGCTCCCTGCCCCCGATGCCCGCCTCCCACTGCGGCTCTTACATGGCTGATAATTGCAGATGATACGCGCCAGCGGGCAATACACGGTGCTATTGCAGAACCTGATGCAGAAGAAATAAAGAGACGGCTTCGAAACTCCTTTCGCCCATGCTAAGCACGCGCTGCTGTTTACCCATATAGCAACACTCTATCGACAGTCAATCAATATATGTTGTAGCTCGGGGCGTGCCATTTGTTTTCATGGGCGGTACGGATAGGCACTGCTTGGCTGATAATTCATTTAGCACATTAAAGTAATGAAATTGCTGGCTGATAACGACATGGGCAAACGCTGCCACAGACTGGCTCCACTGATAACACGCCCCACCCTTCACCCCCTACCCATCGCCCTTCGCCCTTCACCCGCCATCCATCGACCACTGTCACAGTCCGACACTTTGCCAATCAATTTTATTTGTTTATTCAGCCGGGACAGCAGCCGCCGAGGCGGCACATGAAGACGTTCTGGACTACTCGGATGGGCTAACACTTTATGCTTTAAGCTGGCGCTTTCATTGCGCCCGATAATTGCTGCAATGCCTCCATTGCTGGGCCTGGGGGCGTGGCGCTCCCGGGTCTGAGTTGGCTTTAGCCTCCCCGAGAGTTTTCTTGTAATATTTTTAATGCATATTTGCTGTTAGTTGGCGCAGTTTTCTTTGCCTTTGTGCGGCTGCTGTTTTCTCTCTCCACGTTCCACTCTAATGCTTTTCTTATTTTTTGTTGTTCTCTCTTTTTGTCTCAATCTTTTTTATTCTCGCGGAGAACATCTTTTCCGAGCCTGTCAGATTATTGAGGCGAATGAATATTTTACAGCCTTTTGTAACTGTGTCCTTGCTCAAATGTACCAATGCCTGTGTCTGTGTGTGTGAGTGTGTTACACTTTCACAGCCTGATTTGAGAATTTATTATTATGATTATGTTTTCTGCATTTTTGCGCTGCACAACAATAGCCATGCCTTGTATTATTCATCCACTCGCTGTCGCTTTTGTTGCCAGCGAAAGAGTGAGCAAATTAGCATATCAAGCAAATAATACATATAATACATATATAATTTGCGAGCTAGAACCACGCCAATTATTGAAAGCAATACAAAAGACATGTGTCGAACGCTTTAACGTTTTCGTGCTTTAAAAGACTTTTAAGGTATAGTAAGAGTATAATAGTTAATATTTTAAACAAACTTTATTTAAATCAAAATAAATTTCATTAATTCCTATGCAGAGCTATTCATATTCGGAGGACCCTTTTAGGCTGTCCATATTCAACAGACACTTGATCTTGATGTTGCCGATAATAATAATTTTATTTAGTTCAAGTAGATTTGTGGACAGCACTCTTTGAATATTTCTCTGAAATGGCCGCCTTTAGCCTGTACGGGTTGCCAGATATAACTGACTGCATAAATACTCATATAATACGTGAGAATAGAGCTTAGTTTTTCACTAAATATTTATTTAAGAGCCATTCCAGCTAGGTATTCTCGAGAGAGAGAGCTCTTGAATATAAATGTAAATCAAGTGTGCACAAAGCAAACACATTTTACATCGTGTAATTTTATAAATATTAAATAAATGAGGCGGACAGCTGACAAGGGCCGACGGCACATGGCGTCACAGGTTTGGGTAATTTTTTAAATTTGTTTTAATTTGGAAACATTCGTTTGATAGGCTCAGCGCCCTGAGGCGCGTTAAATACATTGTTTAGCATATTCATGGGCAACGCACATGCTCTCAGAGCTCAGCCCCACTCATCAGATAATGATATTAAATTGAAAATAACATAAATAATTCAGCAATGTTCATTACACAAACATCAGCCCGCATCATTTGTTATTTGCGGCTTTAACACTTCAACGAGCACAACGAATGCAGCAGCATAATGGGATAATGGACAGATCGGGTGTGAACGGCTTAATTTGCAGCACTGCAGTGCACTGGTGGGGTAGCCGCAAACCATGCGCATTCAATCGAATAAAATAACATACTATAGGTGAATGATTGGTCAGTGGCCATTGACGTACTTCAGGCTTAATTACAAGCAAATTTGATTTGCATTTTCGCATGTTGCGAGTGACTTAAGTACGTATGTTTATGTGTATTTAGCTCTGCCTCGCGTGTGTGTGCCTCAGTCAATCTCTTGTGTATCGCTCACGTTCCGGAAATGGCAAACATATTGTGTGTACTCGTGTTTGGCTCATTTCGAAGGTTCGCCCAACGGAATTCCAAGTAGCCCAGAGTTAAAGTTTTATTAACAAAATTTGCTTAGGTTTTCTGTGCTCTGTGTGTGTGTGTGTGTGTGTGTGTGTGTGTGTGTGTGTGTAGCCTGCAGACATCCTGACATTTGATGCGTAATCAGTGGCAAATTCGTTCATGTCCATCTACTTATACAATGCGAGGCAAAGCATAAATACACGAGCGCACGTTGCGTATACGCAATGTTGGCAAATCCGACTGCGTGTCGCATTAGAAGACCCTTTGAGCAGCACAGCATGCTGCTCTTTTTTTCTTATGCTGCCATCTTTTTAGCCAGATTGTCTCGGCCATAATGGCACTAATATATTTCTAGCTGCCTTTGATCAAACTCAAAGATGTGTGTGAGTGAGGGGCTGTGCGCTTGAATGTGTGTGTGAGCCAACCTTTTGACTTTATGCCGAGTGACCACTGTGCTGAGTGTCCCACAGGACTTTTGATATTTAATTTGTTGGCCCTAGCTTCTGGCTTATTTCTGAACTTAATGAAGTAGGTTTCGCAAACACATAGCCAGCCTAGTGGCAAGTTTTTTATTAAATTTATGAAAGACAACCTTCGAGGGGGCTATTCGAAAGGAGAACTTCTCGGAGCTGCGCAACAAACCACAAAATTGCAATTAAAAGCGCCCTAAACTGAGTGCCTGAGCCCTTGACAATTGCCCGACCATTAAGACACATTTCCTGCCAAAGATCTGCTCAAAAACAAACAAACTAGCAACTAGCCAATGTCTGTGTATGGAGCGACGAGTTGAGCGTAATTGCTATAAATATGAATAGCAAAAAACGGCTAGAGACGTAGCCAGCAGCTGGCCAGCCGAGTGGCAAAGCAATGGCAACAATGGCCGAAAAGGAAGTGTACTGGAGATAGATGGCATGCGATGGCATTGTTATATGTATTGTTAGCTGCATTCACACTCAATTAAATGAATGAATGCTTGTGCTGAATAAACAGCAAACTGCGCAGTGAGTGTCTGTGTGAATGAAGAGAAATACAAATTCGCCAAGAATTGCTTGGCTTAATGTGTAAATGAGTGCCACACGGCCAACTATAGCAAGCAGAAATACCCTAGCCAAGTTAATTAACGGGCTGTCCTACTTCGTAAAAGGATCGAATTCATAGAGGCTAAAAAGTTGTTGGGAAAACATTGTGGAATTACCAATCATTCCCGATATCTAACCTATCGAGCATTCCATATGATATACTCTATATATGTATATATAAGTATTAAACTTGATACCTGTGCTCAGAGTATATGTCATGACATTATATTAAGATTAAATTTAAGATATATAAATAAAAGATATATAATAAAAGATATTCATTCAATTACACATATATAACACATTCATCATAACAATATTCTGATTCTGGTAATTATCTCAATTGGTTTCAAGCTCCATCTGTCTCGAAATGTGTTCGTCTGTCTTAAGATGACGTAAGTATGCACTGTGCAGGTAAAGCCAGTAAAACCATCTCGTTGATATACAGCAAGGATCTCCAAGTATGCTATAGAACCGATGTTCACTCTCTCAATAAGTATACTGTGATTCACATTAATATCTTTGCTTTCTAGTATTCAACTTAAAACCTTTATACAATATAAATTAGTAATTGAAAATAAAAAAGTATAAATAATAATGTTTAGAAGAAGGAAGGAAGAAGAAAATTTATATCCAAATATAGTAATTACGATTATTAACAAGAATTATACAAAATATTTGGGTTTTCTTTAACAACTGAGCGAATTCGAATTTCATTGAAAAACAATTCATATTTATGTAGCATGGTAACTGTATAT